GGCCCCCGGGGGCCCCCCTCCCAGCGGAGAAGCAGCAGCAGCAGCAGCAGCAGCAGCAGCAGCAGCAGCAGCAGCAGCAGCAGCAGCGCGTCGGGGGGCCCCTGCTGCTGCCGAGGCCGGTGAATCTTGGGGGCCCCCCGCCGCTGCCGGGGCCCCCTGGGGGCCCCCCGAGGCCCCCTGGGGGCCCCCCGGGGTCCCCGAAGGAGCGGGGGGGCCCCCCGGGGGCCCCCGAGGCGCGGGGGGGCCCCCCGGGGGCCCCCGAGGAGCTGGGGGGCCCCCCGGGGGCCCCTCTTTGGGGTTTTTGGAGGGTTTGGGGAGTGGGTCCTTGGAAAGTGTTTTAAAGTTGAGTTGGAATGGAAAAAGGGTTTGCAAAAAGTGCCAATTGGCAGCAAAACCCTGGCTGTTTATTTGCTGCCGAGTGCACCCCAGCGAAAGCCACAGCAGCTTTTTGCTGCTGGGGCTGCTGAGCTTTTTGCTGTCGGGGGCCCCCCAGGCGCTGCTGCTGCGGGGCCTCTTCCGGATTGCTGCAGTACCCTCTTTGAACCCTGACGGGGTTTATGGGGGCCTCAGCCGCTGCAGCATTTCCGGAGAAGACCTCAACAGGGTTTGGGGGGCCCCCTGCTGCAGCAGCAGCAGCAAACTCTGGGGTGGCTGCTGCAGCAGCCACCCCACTGTTTGCTGCCTCAAACGCCTCATTCTCACTGCGCAGCAGCCCACCACCAGCAGCAGCAGCAGCAGCAGCAGCAGCAGCAGCAGCAGCAGCAGCAGCGGCGGCGGCGGGGGGGGGAACAACGTGCTGCTGCTGCTGGACATTCATTCCCACTCTTCGAAGGAAGACATCTTCATGTGAGCAGGCAGGGGCTCCTTGCTGCTGCTGCTGCTGCTGCTGCTCCGTTTTGCTGCTGCTGCTGCTGCTGCTGCGCGCTGCAGCAGCCACGCCTCCACGCGCAAGCAGCAGCAGCAAGCGCTGCAGTGGCACCTACACACTTCAGCAGCAGCAGCTACGCACTGCAGCAGAAGCAGCAGCAGCTACGCACTGCAGCGGAAGCACTAACAAACAGCAGCAGCAGCAGCAGCAGCAGCAGCAGCAGCAGCAGCAGCTACTGCAGCAGCAGGGGCCCTCAGGGGTTTGTAGGGTCCCCCTAGGGCCCCCAGGGGCCCCTTAGGGCCCCCAGAGAGTCCTGCAGTACCCTGGGGGGCCTCCGTGGGGAATATAGCACACATTGAAAGGTCTTCTAGCTCTTCTCTCTTTGAATCTTGCTGCTGCTGCTGCTGCTGCTGCTGCTGCTGCTGCTGCTGCTGCTGCTGCTGCTGCTGTTGCTTGCAGCTACGCAAATGCTGCTGATATGCCCCTAGCCCCCGAGGGGGCCCCCGCGTTTGAGGGTTCAGAGGGTACTCCCTGGGGTACCCTCAAGGGGGGCCCCCCACAGGGGGGCCCCCCCTATAGGGGCCCCCTGGGGGGCCCCCCCTGGGGGCCCCTGGGGGGCCCCCTGGGCCCATCGCCCCCCACAACGGGTACTTTGTTGAAGGCTTTGGAAGAGCGCTGCCCCTGGTTTGATATAAATGGTATCTCCTAAACCCTAAACCCTAAACCCTAAACCCTAAACCCTAAACCCTAAACCCTCCCTCCGAAGTGCTAAACCCTAAATTTTTCACCCTTCACTCGAGGCCCTGCAAGCTCTAGGGCTTGCAGGACAGTCTTGGGACTGCGGGAACTTGGGCGCGTAGCGTTTAGGGTTTAGGGTTTGTGGTTTAGGGTTTAGGGTTTAGGGTTTAGGGTTTGGGTGAAGCTGCTGCTTGTGTACATTCCCTACGCGTGCTAGGGGCGAAGAACTCCGGGCTTGGGCTTGAGCGTTGCGAGCGCCCAGCACTAGGGTTTAGGGTTTAGGGTTTAGGGTTTAGGGTTTAGGGTTTAGGGTTTAGGGTTTAGGGTTTGTTCAGCGTGCACTGCGAAGATTCAAAAGTGCAAAGAAGGCACTGGAAGAGTTGTAGGGTTTAGAGAATTGGGAATTACTTCTTCCTACACTTTGGAGGTTTCGAGTTTTGGCCACGGGGACCCAAACCCTAGGGCCTGGCTCAGCGCCTTCGGCCCCGTAAACCCTAAACCCTAAACCCTAAACCCTAAACCCTAAACCCTAAACCCTAAACCCTTGGCCCCTGAATCCGGACTTCGGGGGCTGAACTCCTACGGAAAAGCCAAAACCCTAAACGCGCAAACAGCTCCTTAGGCATGCACGCCTACCCCGCAGAGCTAGGGTTTAGGGTTTAGGGTTTAGGGTTTAGGGTTTAGGGTTTAGGGTTGCACGGAATGCAGGAGATAGCCAAACGGAGGCCCTCTCTTCCTACAGAAGACAGCGAAGTGACGGGGGCCCCCAGGGTTTCCAAGGAGGGGCCCCAAGGAAGACCCTCAATCACAAGTGCGTCCGCTGCTGCTGCTGCTGCTGCTGCTGCTGCTGCTGCTGCTGCTGCTGATTTGTTGCTGTTGCTGCTTTTGCAGCTGCCGCTGGTGAAACTGCCGCTGCTGCCGCTGCTGCTGCTGCAGTAATGCTGCTGCTGCTACCACTGCTGCTGCTATTGCTGCTGCTGCTGCTGCTGCTGCTACTCCAGTTGTGGCTGCTGCTGCTGCTGCTGCTGCTGCTGCTGCAACTTGAAAGAATGCTATATTTGTTTTTCTCTTCAGGCAAAAGCCCTTCTGCTGCTGCTTCGGGCCTTGAGGAAGTAAACCACAGGGGCCCCCAAACCCCTTTGGGGGCCCCTGGACAAGGAGGGGGGCCCCCCACCCCAGAAGACCAGCTGCCCAGGGGGCCCCCTAGCAGCAGCAGCAGCGGGGCCCCTGCGGGGGCCCCAGGGTCTCCGGGGGCCCCCGGGGCCCCGGGGGCCCCCGGGCCCCCGGGGGCCCCCGGGGCCCCCGGGGGGCCCCCTGGGGGGCCCCCCGCGCTGCAGTACTTTGATGCAGGGTCTTTGCTGCTGGCTGGAGTGTCTGTGGGCTTGGCCCTTCATGACTGGGCGCTGCAGCTGCTGTGGGGGGCCCCCTTCCTGCTGCAGCCGGGGGGCCCCCCAGCAGCAGCAGCAGCAGCAGCAGCAGCAGCAGCAGGAGGAGAAGGGGGGGCCCCCCACTCCTGCCTGCGGTGTGCGCTGCTGCAGACGGGGGCCCCCCTCCCCGCAGCCCCCCCCAGTACCCTCCCGAGGCCCCAGGGGGCCCCCAAGAAAAGGGGGGCCTCCAGAAGGAGACAGGGTTCAGCTGTACCCTCCAGGGGCGACGAGGGGGCCCCCACAGCCAAGATTAGGGGCCCCGGGGGCCCCGGGGGCCCCCGGGGGGCCCCCCTAACCCGCGAGGCTTCCCTGAGAAAGTTGACCCTGGGCTTCCCTTCTGCAGAGGGGCCCCCCTTAGAAGGGGCAGGCAGCAGCTATTTCCTGAGTGTGGAGGAAGCAGCAAGAACAGCAACAAATGCTGTTTGCAATTCCCTTAGGTACTTCGCAGCAAAAGAGTCTGCTGCTGCTGCTGCTGCTGCTGCTGCTGCTGCTGCTGCAGGGGAGGGGGCCCCTGCAGAGGGGCCCCCAGCCAGGGGCCCACGGGGGCCCCCAAGGGCACAAGATGGCTTTGTGCTGCTTGACCCACAAGAGCTGCTGGGGGCCCCCCGGGGGCCCCCCCAGCACTGTGTCTCCTCGCGAAGAGACAAGAGCAATGGGGGGGCCCCCAAGCTGCCAAAAAGAAGGGCTTCAGCAGCAGCAGCAGCAACAGCAGCAGCAGCAGCAGCAGCAGCAGCAGCAGCAGCAGCAGCAGGGGGCCCTAGGGGTACGCGCTCAGCAGAAAGGCTGGGGTCCCCAGTGACTCTGGAGCCTCCAGGGCCCCCAGAGCCCCGGGGGCCCCCAGGGTCACCCCCAGGGGGGCCCCCAGGGGCCCCTCAGGGGGGCCCCCAGGGGGGCCCCCGGGGCCCCAAAAATGGGCCTCGGGGCCCCAAGGGAGGCAGCAAAAGGGCAGCAGCCCCGCCGCTACGGCAGCTAGCCACAGCAGCACTGAGGGGCCCCCCTAGCAGCAGCTGCAGCAGCGCGGGGGGCCCCCCCATGAGGGGCCCCTCTCTGGGGGGCCCCCCCTTGGGGGGCCCCTCCAGGGGCCCCCGCATGTGCTGCCAAAGTGAAACTCTAGGACCCCAAATTGTTGCCACAGCACTTCAGGGGGGCCCCCAGGGGCCCCCCAACGCTTTAGAAGAAGCCCCCAGCTACTCACAGGGGCCCCTGGCAGAGACAGAGGGGGGCCCCCCAAGAGGGGCCCCACAGAGGGGCCCCCCTAGAGGGCCTCAGGAGGCTCGTCAAGCAGCAGCAGCAGCAGCAGCAGCAGCGGAGGCAGCAGCAGCAGCAGCAGCAGCAGCAGCGGGGGCAGCAGAGGCAGAGCCTCCTCTGCAGGCGCAGCAGCATGACACCCAAAAGAGGGCCTCCTGGGGGCCCCCCGGGGGCCCCCTGGGGGCCCCCTGTAGGGGCCCCCTGTACCCTGGGTGGGCCCTTAGCCGTATAAGAGCTGTTGCTGCTCAAGTAAATGAAGAAAGACTGGGGCCCCTTTTATTCCAGGCCGACGCCCTTGGGGGCCCCCCGAGGCCCCTTCAGAGGGCCCCTCTGGGGCTAGGGGGCCCCTCAAGCAACGCAGCGATGATGGGGGCCCCTGCAGCAGCAGCAAAGAGCCTCAAGAGGGTACTTTCGAAACAGAGGGGGCCCCCAGCAGCTCCGACGACTCCTGGGGGTGGCAGAGTCCCGAGGGCCCCCAGGGGCCCCCGGAGCCCCACGAACTCCCGGGGCCCCCGGGCCCCCAGGGGCCCCCAGGGCCCCCGGGGCCCCAGGGGCCCCCGGGGCCCCAGGGGCCCCCGGGGCCCCCGGGGCCCCAGGGGCCCCCGGGGCCCCCGGGGCCCCCGGGGCCCCCGGAGCCCCGGGGGCCCCAAGGGCTCCATAAATCTCTTGGGTCCCCTACCCAAAGGGGGCCCCCCTTGGGCATTTTGCCTCAGTGGGGGTTTCAGGGGGTACTGCCCCACCGATCACCTAAAGCCCCTAGGGGCCCCCTGGGGGCCCCGGGGGCCCCCGGGGCCCCTGGGGCCCCCGGGGCCCCCGGGTCACCTGGGGGCCCCCTGGTGGCTGCTGGGGTATGGGGCGAGGCAGGGGGGGCCCCCGAAGGGGCCCCCGGGGGGCCCCTAGAGCTCGGGGGTCTCACTATTAAACAAGTGACCCCAAGTGCGAGGCCCCCAAGGGCCCCCAAGCGACGGGAGTACCTTCGCATAGGGTCTGGTGGGGGGCCCCCCTTTGTAGAGGGGGGGGGGCCCCCTAGGGTCCTGGAGGGGGGGGGCCCCCCAGGGCCCCCGGGGGCCCCTCTAAAGGCAGCTAAATAGGGCACAGCAGGGGGCCCTCAACCCCAAGTGCTGCCTAGCAGGGGCCCCCAAGGAACCCCCTCAGCTCCTGCGGCCTTGGGGGCCCCCTGTGGGGCCCCTAGGGGGCCCCCTGGGGGCCCCCTGGGGGGCCCCTAAGGGGCCCTCTGTGGGGCCGTAGGGGGCCCCCCAGGGGCCCCACAGGGGGCCCCCCAGAGCAGCAGGGGGCCCCTTGCTGCAGCGCGGGTTGCACAGTTAGTTTTCGGAGACGGAAATGCATTTATTAATTTGTTTAGTTTTAAAAGAAAAGAAAATAAACAAAACAAAAAAGATGGAAAAGGATATGCTGCTGCTGCTGCTGCTGCTGCTGCTGCTGCTGCTGCTGCTATTGTTGCAGCTAATACTTCTACTGCTACTGCTTCTGCTGCTGGTTGTGCTGCTGCAGCAATGCTGCCGCTGCTGCTGCTGCTGCTTGTCTTGCTGCTGCTGCTGCTGCTGCTGCTGCTGCTGCTGCTGCGCTTAATGGCATATTTGCTTCTGAAGGAAAAGCAAGAAGACTGAGAAATGACCAAAAGCTGCGCATACACCTCAGAGGTGGCTAGACACCCAAAAATGAAAAGCTTAAGTTCAAAGCCTGGGGGCCCCTCTGGGGGCCCCCCATAGAATCCCCACTGGGGATTTCAAGTACCCCTTTGGGGGCCCCTTTGGGGGCCCCTTTGGGGGCCCTTGGGGGTTTAGCAAGACCTTGGGGGCCCCCGCGGGGCCCCCATTGAGTGCTGGGGGCCCCTAAAACAGCACCGGCTGTTCTTTTATTTAATTAGAGTTTTCTTTTTCTCTAAGGACATTTAAAAGAGACACAAGACAAATATGTCTCTTTGCTGCCCCTCAGGGCCCCTAGGGGGCCCCCATTGCTGCCAGGGGGGCCCCCTAGGGGCCCCCTCCGCTGCACGGGGGGCCCCCGGGGGGCCCCCAGGGGGCCCCTCCGGGGGCCCCCCGGGTATCCTATAAAACGGCCCCTTGAGAGCCTTTGCGGGGGCCCCCCAGGGGGCCCCCGGGGGGCCCTAGCAAGCATAAGTAGAGGGGCCCCCTAGAGATCTTGTTGGGGGCCCCTAGGGGGCCCCATTGGGGCCCCCTAACCCACTGTAACTTTCTTAGGGGCCCCTGGGGGGGCCCCCCAAAAGAGTTTCTGGGTGGACCCAATAGGGGGCCCATAAACCTCAAAAGACCCTTTGGGGGCCCCCAGAGGGGCCCCTCTTAGGGGGCCCCTCTCAGAGGGGCCCCCCGTCAGAGGGGCCCCTCTGGATACCCCTCTGGGGGCCCCTCTGGGGGCCCCCCTGGGGGCCCCCCTGGGGGCCCCCCTGGGGGCCCCCCTGGGGGCCCCTGTTGGGGAATATTTATTTTTGCTGCTGGGTTTACCTGTGAATGAAAAGAGTTTTGTTTGTAGAATAATAAAAGAGACAAAAAAGGCCCTCTGTCTCTTGCATGGAAGAGCTGCTGCTGCTGCTGCTGCTGCTGCTGCTGCTGCTGCTGCTGCTGCTGCTGCTGCTGCTGCTGCTGCTGATGATTCTGCTGCTGCTGCTGCTGCGTCAGAAGTCATGCAGCCAGCTGTCGCAAAGGTGCTGCTGCTCTAAAGAGACAAAAACAACAAAAGAGAGAAAAGCAAAAAGAGACAAAATGGAATTTTTTTAAATCCAAAAAAAGACAAAAAATAAAATAAAAAGATAATAAAAAAGAAAAACAATAAAGTCAAATAAAATGAGACAAAAATGCTTCAAAAAAAGACAAAAAGGGTTTCTAAAAGAGAAAAAAGTGTTTTAAAAAGTGCCAAAAAGTGCTTTTAAAAGAGACAAAAAGCGTTTTAAAAAAAGCAGAAAAGTATTTTTAAAAGTGTTTGAAAAACCCCAAAAAGTGTTTTTAAAAGTGTTTTTAAAAGTGTTTTTAAAGTGCCAAAATATCTTCAAGTATCTTTGCATCTTTTTGGAGTTTTCCAAAAACCCTTTTTCGCGTTTTTTCAAACCCTCATCAAACCCTCATCAAACCCTCCTCAAAACCCTCATCAAACCCTCTTAAAACCCTCCTCAAACCCTCCTCAAACCCTCTTAAAACCCTCCTCAAACCCTTTTGAAACCCTCCTCAAACCCTCTTAAAACTC